GTGTGTGTGTGTACGTGTGAGTGTGTGCGTGAGTGTGTACGTGTGTGAGTGTGTGTGTACGTGTGTGAGAGTATGCGTGAGTGTGTACGTGTGTGTGAGTATGCGTGTGTGTGTACGTGTGTGTGTGTGAGTGTGTGCGTGTGTGTGAGAGTATGCGTGTGTGTGTACGTGTGTGTGTGTGAGTGTGTGCGTGTGTGTGAGAATATGCGTGTGTGTGTACGTGTGTGTGAGTATGCGTGTGTGTGTACGTGTGTGAGAGTATGCGTGAGTGGGGAGCGGTAGTGCAGCGATTAGTGCACTGCGCTACAAATCCGGTGACCCGAGTTCGATTCTCGCTCACGGCCAACACCAGTGACGATAATCTGAACAGGTCATGGGCCTCCCCTAGGTCGACTCAACCTCAAATGAGTACGTGGTGTGTAAACATCGCCACTAGGGAGACAAAGGCGACCGGGCGTGGTGCTGGCCACCCACCCCCTCGTGTGCCGTGCCGGCTCTCATGGGTGCTCGCTAACAGCACTTGCCCCAACAGTCTGTTAAGGCTACACGGGGGATCTTTGTCTTTGCGTGCGGGTTGGAGCGGAGACGCAGTGGTTAGCGCACTGCGCTACGAATTAAATTCCCGGCCACGGCCAACAATTAGTGGCGGGTGATATCAGCACGGGTCCTGGGCATACCACAAGCTTCATCGCATCGGACTTAGGTCGATTGAGCCTTAAACGATTTGCTGTTGTGTATATAAACATCAGCACTCTATATACAAAGGCGGCCAGGCGTAGTATTATAGCCTTAATAGGTGCTCGCTAACGAAGAGCACTTGTCCCGATATAAAGGTTATACGCACTGGAATGTGTCCTTGTTATGAATGTCTTTGTAACTTGATCTTTGCAGAATTGCTTATGTGTGTGATTTAGGTTATTTTAGTGCGTGTCACGTGTACAAGATGAGTTGCGCCCTTGCACGAGCCACGAGGTTCTGGTGTTAACGCTCGGTCTCGAGTCAGCTCGTGGAAACGCCACGTTCCTATGACGAGGCCCAGTTCGCCCGTATATAATTAAACGCAGCAATGTTGATTTTCAGTGACTTCACCACTTGTTGACCCTCGATTCGGAATTCACGATGATGATGATGATGAATACACGATGGTGCTTAACATGATAATTGTCGTGGTGGTGGTAAAGACGACCGTGATGACTGTTCAGGCTGGTGGTGGTGGTGGTGACGATGGTGAAAAGGTGACAGTGGTTAAAAATTATCAAGCCCAAGTTTATTGTTTTTTAACCAGGTGGCGAGAACTCAAGAAACCAGGGTGAGTCCAATTTGCAAGAGTGACATGGGGCATTAATCTGCCAGTAGGGGGCGATGTTTGCTGCTGTGTGTATGTGTGTGTGCATGGGGAGCGGTGGTATAGCGGTCAGCTCACTGCGCTACGAACCCGGCGACCCGAGTTCGATTCCCGCTCACGGCCAACAACAGTGACGAACAGGTCTTCGACCTGGTGCGGTGTGTAAAACATCACTACTCGGCCGGGCGTGGTGTTGGCCACCAACCCCCTCGTGTGCCGTGCCGGCCTTCATAGGTGCTCGCTAACAGCACTTGCCACAACAGTCTGTTAAGGCTACACGGGGGATCTTTGTCTTTGTGTAGAATACCCAATGGAGTAATTTGCGGTGTCATTTTCGAATTTGGCAAATTTGGACCCTGACGCCGGCACACAAATGGCCTACTTTTACGAATGACGTCAAGAGATCTTTAACGTCCAATGTGAAGCAGACGGCGTGTAGTATTGCTCCGATTTGATCAGGGCGGCCGATGGCATTGAACTGTGAACAAGCAGCGAGCGCGCTACCATTAGGTCGCGTCACTGCCCTGATGATTGTTGTGATGATGATGATCGTGGTGATGATAATGACCATAATGACTGATTACCTACGAATCAAAAAGTCGCCCGTAGGCCACTACGAGCCGAGACATCGCACCCATGAGCGGGAGAGCCGTCCAGTGTTCATATCCACATGTGATTTCCTGCTCACATGAGCGTCGATGTGGTGCTCATCTCATGTTTATAGCCCTGAACTAGTGCCGATTTCATATTCCTATGACGGGAACCAGTATGTCAACCAACCACTGTTGAATTCCCCAGAAAGTGGTACCTATTTCGTGATTTTATCGACCCCCCCTCGGAAGAATGATGGGCTGAGTCAACCCTCCAACCAGGATATGAAATCTCAACCTTTTGATTGCGAGCCGCTCGCTCTACCCCCGAGCAAGCCACCTGTGCGACCTGACAACAACAACAACAATACCAACAACAACAAGTGCCGCTATTATAGAGGGTCCTCGTGGGGCCTCGGGGCGAGATCCAAACATGAGCGCTAATAACGCGTGGAGGTCGAACAAGTGCACGTAGTGGTACATGTGTAGCGATACAGCGCCGACTGCCGTCCAGCAGCGGCAACTGCGGTGGACAGTGAGTGCACACGCCGCCGAGCAAATACACGGTGTGTGTGCCGGCAGGGCGGAGGAACTGGGGCAAGGGTCACGGAAGACCTCATCGGGAAGCCCCCTGGAACCCTCTGGTGGGTTCGAGAAGGGAATAAAAGCAGCGGAGAGCCCGAGAGCTCCGGACTGCCGGTTCTGGGAGTGGACTCGTCTCGTCTTCACCGTCGTCGTCGCCGCCTTCGCCTGATCATTGCGTGGCCGGACAGTTGTTGGCCGTCTCGGTCGACGCCGTCGATGTCTAGGCCGGGCTGTATGGCAGCGTGGTCATGGGAGAGGAGGCCGGAGTTGGTATAACGGAATAATGAGAGAGAGAGAGACGATGCCTACTGCAACTACCTCGTCTCCGACTGAGTGTGTGCACCACACACACACACCGAGGAGGACGCTACACATGTGTAGTGTACTAATTTAGAGACACTAGTAGGAGGCGTTATCACAGCCATAGGGGATAACTCCATACCAGGTCGGGACACCGGGTCGGGACAGCCAACATGCTTCCAGACCCACAGCTTGAAGAAGCGAAGACCGTGACGACGGCAACACGGCGAGTTCCATTCCCGATGGCAGCAGCCCCGACTGTGAGTCGGAACTCGCCTTTTATTCTCCCCAGCGTGGCCAGGCTCCGCCCTCGGCCACGCCCCCTTCTGGATCCCCCAGAAGGCTCCGGGCTTGGCCCACGGGTCCAACTGGTAGAACGCGCTGCTACCCATAATTCCATTGTCTACCAATCTCCCAGCGCCACGCGCTACAGTGACTCATTCAATGTCACTACATCTGTATACATATTTTGTATGTATAATGGATGCCACGTGATCTTCCCCAGCCGCGAGAGGCAGCTACATTCACCAACTATTTGAAGAAAAAAACATTCTGGGATCGAATCACGAAGAAGGCGAATGTGATTGACCCCCCCACCCCCTGTATAATTTTGGATCATCGGCCATGATCGATCCACTGCTGAATGATGGCCTGAGAAGCTCTACTTGGATAATAAATCCCAAACCAGTACGCAGTGTGAGGTGAGACAAACTGTGCTCCCTTCACCAATCCACACTGACCAGCGTGGTGAAGTATGGTCAAACAACCTACCGCCCGCATATATATATATAATTCTTAATCTCAGCCGGAATAGTCCGGAACGCTGTTTTTTTATTATTTCGACCAGGCCAGATCCATCTCGCCTTATCCTGACCTCCGAATAAGTACACACGTGTTCGCAAAACTACAGCAATGTAGCGGCTATGATAATAAAAATAATAATCATAATTCATGTTCACTGTGGCGCCTTACGACCGATAATATAATTCTCCCAAATTCCAAGCCAACCTCGAGTCGAGCGGCGTTTCGTAAAATATCGAGAGACGAGGAGGGCCCTGCGGCCAACGTCAACATCGTTGCACACATTGCCACACTGCCACGCGCGTCACGGCTAATCACGCGGGCGGCTCACGTTGCGCGCACTACGCTCTCGACCGCCACCAATTACGGGATACATAATGAACACCTTCTAACGTTGAAATCCTTACCTGACCCCTCCTCCCCTCCTCCTCCTCCTACTACTACCCCACCCCCCACAAGTATACAGACACGGACAGCCGTAAACGTGTTGAGCAGAGTGAGAGAAGGTGAAGAATAAGAAAATACAAGCAACCCCAAAAAAATGTGTTCGAGCAGAAAACCGCTACGAACAAACAGAAAGTGCCCACCAGACGAATGAATCTCCGTCGGTCATCTTAGTGAGCAGCCGTAGCCTCACTGCTCCCGGCCCTCACTGACCCCCCCCCCCCACCCCTAATTATATAAATCAGCGTTGGTCATCTCAGTAGCCACCACCAGTACGCTCCCGCTGCCGCCAGACCCAACTACCTCCCACAGACAACCCCCCTCTTTGCCACCTCGACGAACAGTCACACATTATTGGAGTCCTAACTCAGCGGCCAAAAAAGCCGAGGTGGTGAAACCGACCCCTTTGGCAGGGGTCCAACTCTGCAGGGTGTGCGGAGCTGTTTTTACGCAATCGATTTTTGTTTTTCTCTCCACCCCCCTCCCATCAGCCGCACAGCGCGCGCGCGCGTTCGTGATTTCTGTCCCGTCCCTCGTCGTCATCAATTTTAGATTGGAGGTTGTCGCAGCCGTGATTTCAACAAAAAAGAGAATCACATTTTAACTTAAAAATATGAACGAGGATGAGCTCTCAATCGTCAATGATTATATTTATAATCATTTCCATTGCCGTGATCATCAGCCTCGAAATGAGTACCTGGTGCGATGTGAGAACATCGCCACTGGGGAGACAAAGGCGGCCGGGCGTGGTTGCTGGCCACTCACCCCCTCGTGTGCCACGTGCCGGCCTTCACCAGTCTGATCAGGCTATAAGGGGATCTTTGTATGTGTGTGTTACTGTGTTTGTGTGTACGTGTGTGTGTATGATATATGTGTGTGGTACGTGTTTATTTTTTTTAAGATTGGCGACGGCATATTTTCGCGTTACACTCACCCAGTGATAGTGCCGAGTAATCAAGCCACTGCTGGATAAAGGCCTCCCCACACGCGTCGGTCGTGAGACGTGTTTGACCATACTTCACCACGCTGGTCAATGCAGGTTGAAGGTCGTCACACAGTAAGGGTTCAGATACCACTCGCCACTCGCGTTATCGAACTCACTATCGCCGGGTTCAAAAGTGGAGTGCGCTAACCACTGCGCCACCACTCCACCCTGACCCTCGCATTCCCGACTGAAAAACATTTTGGATTTCTGGATTTTTTTTTTTTTTACAAATCGCTTTAGCAAGTCAAAGAGCCACACATCGCGTCTAATTTGTGTGGCCTTTTAGAAGCACGAGTTTATTGTTGTGTGTTTTCGTTGTGTGTGTGTCATTGTGTGCGCTCATGTGTGTGTGTCATTGTTGTGTGCTGAGTATGGGGGAGCGGTGGCGCAGCGGTTAACGCACTGCGCTAAGATTCCCAGTGACAGCCAATATCTAAACCGGTCCTGGGCTGCCCCTAGGTCGATTCAGCCTCAAATAAGTATCTGGTACGATGCGTAAACATCGCCAATCGGGAGACAAAGGTTTCAGTTGTATTTATTTGGTGTAGCCCTGTGAGCCATTCGGCTCTTGAATCGGGTGCAACCGCAACAAACAAAAAACTTAAACATGAAACAAAAACATGAACAAGAAAACATCTTAAAGTGCTCGCTAATAGCACTTGCCCGAAAGGTCTATGTAGGCTATATGGGTGGGGGGCAACTTTTACTTTGTTGCGTATGTGCACATCCCCACGTCTCTCTCTCTCCCCCTCTCGGTGGCATTTGACATTTTCCATTTAAATAAACGGGGAACAGGCCAAGTCTTGTTTATTCATTTCCACCATGTGCGTGTCTGTGTGTGTGTATGTGAGGCACCACCCTGTGTGCGTGTCTTTGTGTGTCTCTGTGTGTCTCTGTGTGTGAGAGGCTCCTAGATACTTGAAATATCTGGACACAGAATCCCATCATTGGTGAGCTCCTCCAGCAGAGGAGGCTTGCGTTGACTGGGTCACGTCGCCTGCATGCCCAGCCACCGCGTGTCCAAGCAGCTTCTGTTTGGCCGTATAGGGGAGGGGGTTGAACGACACGGGCTCGAGAAGAGATGGAGCTGATGCGGTACAGATGGATGTGAAGCTGAGTGGACTCGCCGTTGCGGTGTCAAGATCGGCCTCTGTGGAGGAGGCTCGTGAAGGACGCTGCTGCTGCTACTGGGCAGTTGGAGGAAATCGCCCTCCAGCAACAACGGAGGGCAGAGGAGCGACGCTCACAACAACGAGTGGTTCGCCGGGCGGATAAAACGCAGGAAGTTGGCACAGTAGCGGCCACAGGCCAGTTATCTCAGTCAGTCAACCCATGGCACATGGGTCTGTCCCGTGACCTCCTGCCAGCGGGCATTCGACACTTCACGTGGCCTAAACGTGCACATAGCCTGGCACGAGCGCCGTGGTGACGTCACAGCCACTTAGTGGCGAATGGCGGTTGTTGTGGGTCTCTCCTCGGTCAACTCAGCCTCAAATGAGTACCTGGTGCGGTGTGTAAAAAAATCGCCACTAGGGAGACAAAGGCGACCGGGCGTGGTGCTGGCCACCCACCCCCTCGTGTGCCACAGTCCCGGCCTTCATAGGTGCTCGCTAACAGCACTTGCCCCAACAGTCTGTTGAGGCTATATGGGGGATCTTTGTCTTTGTGTGTGCGTGGGTGTGTCTGTATAGTGGTGGGGAGCGGTGGTGTAGCGGTTAGCGCAATGCGCTATGAACCCGGCGGCCCGCTCACGGCCGACACCAGTGACGATTATCTGAACGGGTCCTGGGCCTCCCCTAGGCCGACTCAGCCTCAAATGAGTACCCGGTGCGGTGTGTAAACATCGCAACAAAGAGAGACGAAGGCGGCCGGGCGTGGTTGCTGGCCACCCGCCCCCTCGTGTGCCACAGTGCTGCTCGCTCACAGCACTTGCCCCATCAGTCTGTTCAGGCTTTACGGGGGATCTTTGTATTTGTGTGTGTCTGTGTGGTTGTGACGCACCAGCCCGTGTGTGTATCTCTGTGTATCTGAGAGCGAGAGGAGAGCGAGAGGAGAGGGAGGGAGAGAGATTTGATCTCGAGAAGAAAGCTGCACTCTGTTCGCGGTGAGAGCGCGAGATACGCGTGCACTCTCTCTCACATCTCTAAACTTTAAACACATTTACACACACATACACACACACATACACACACACAAAGACACATATCCCCCGTATGAACCTTAACAGGCTGTTGGGGCAAGTGCTGTCAAAGGCCGGCACGGCACACGAGAGGGTGGGTGGCCAGCACCACGCCCGCATACACACATTTACACACACACATTTACACACACATTTACACATCCACACACATTTACACACACACATTTACACACACACACAATAGTTTACGTGTTGTGGGGAGCGGTAATGTAGCGCTACGAACCTGGCTCACGGCCATCGACATCAGTGACGATTATATCTGAACCGGTGCTGGGCCCTCCCTTAGGTCGACTCGGCCTCAAATGTGTAAACATCGCCACTGGGGAGACAAAGGCGGCCGGGCGTGGCACTGACCACCCACCACCTCGTGTTCCACAGTGCCGACCTTGATATGTGCTCGCTAACAGCACTTGCCCCTAAAGTCTGTATAGGCTACACGGGGGATCATTATGTTTGTTTGTATAAATGCTCATGCCAACGAGCCTTTCACACTTCACGTGGCACTCGAATTGTGCACCTAGCCTGGCACATGCGCTTTGGCGAATGCCAAGCTGTCGTTCCCGAATGTCTGGTGTTCAAACGTTTGTATAAAAGTTATTCATTATATATCTGTACCGTACTGTATGTGTTTTTTTTAAACCACATATTTGTGGTTATGTGCCTGTCCCATATATGCGCATGTGCTGGTCGTTCGCTTCGTGGTCAACTCATCGGCACTGGGAAGACAAAGGCGGCCGGGCGTGGTCCTGGCCCACACGCCACCACGCTGTCGTGAGCAGTCTTGGCTTTCACAGGTGCTCGCTCATGGCACTTCATTCCCAGCACGCCTCTGTCTCTGTGCACACTGTGCTTTGTACGTGCTTCTGCATGTGTACGTATTCGTCATATATGCGTGTATGTATCTGAACTGGCCCTGGGCCTTCCCCTAGGTCGACTCAGCCTCAAATGAGTACCTGGTGCGGTGTGTAAATCACCACTGGGGAGACAAAGGCGGCCGGGCGTGGTGCTGGCCACCCACCCCCTCGTGCGCCGTGCCGGTCTTTATAGGTGCAACTCGCTAACGCACTTGCCCCAACGGTCTCTGAAGGCTACACGGGGGATGTTTGTCTTTGTGCACATACCTGTGCATGCAAACAACGCCTCAAGGTGCACCTCTCCTGGCACCAGCATCGTGGTGACGTCCCTGCCGCCTGGTGGACATCGACGGCTATTGAATGCACGCAACGCATTCGTGAGAGCGTGAGAATGCTGTGTCATGGGTGGAAAACCCCCGATTTTTCCAGCGGCAGGCATCGGGTTTTTTCTTTAATATAATTAAACCCGATTTCGGGGAATTGAAACCTGGTTTAATGAATACGAAACTCTGATCCAAGGCTTAGGCTGCTTCCTCCTCCATGCTGCTATCGTACTCGGGGGGGGGGGGGGCGTCGGGCACGGTGTAGTCGTAGAATGCGGCGGGCAGGTTGGTCTTGATGAACACGAGCTTCTCCTCCACAATCGTGGGCGCCAGTGAGTTCCTAAGCTTGGAATGGATGAAGCTCATCGTTGAGAAGTTGGCGAAGTGCGGTTCTGCAATTAGAACCAGTTAAACCGGATTTCTCCCAATCTCAGACGATCGGGTTTAATATAAAAAGACAATTTAACCCGATTGTAAAAAAACCCGACTGTGCCACCCTTGTGCTGTGTGCACTTGCCCCAATAGTCCGTTCAGGCGACTTTCCCAGGCGTGGGTATATCGTTGTCTTCTCTAGTTTCGCGTACGGGGTTTTCATTAAAATGACCACGCACCGCACGTGCATGTTTGCATCAACGCAGAGCTGTGCGTGCTGGAACGGTTTTAGCATTTGCCCATTCGATCTCTTGGCGCCACAGTTTCAGTTTTTAAATCCTTTATATTAAGTTCACTTGCTTGCTTGCGCGCTTACGACCGTGCAAATCTTTCGGTCGTTTTTAACCCACTTCCCGTGATCCAATCGAGCTGACATTTTGCACACAGACTCGTGCGTGACAATTTTTTTTCGTGAAATTTTTTTAAATTTTTTTACACTTTTTAGGAAAATGTTTTTATATTTAATTACCAATTGCTTAATGGTGGCAGGCAATCATCTGACCCATAGGCGGCAGCCATCTCAAGCCAGAGGACGAGAGGACTCTAGCCGCCACGCATATAAAGGATTTATAGTGAAAAACTTTTTTTTTTTACGGGTTAATTTTCATGTATTAGGTATAGCCCTGTGAGCCATTCGGCTCTTGAATCGGGTGCAACCGCAACCGCAAAAAACATGAACAAGAAAACACCTTAAGTTAGAACGAGGGTCAAGTTTGTTTTTTCCCTCTTCCCGCCTCTGTCCACCCGGCAGTATATAAATGGGCACACCACAGTGAGTCGATCGGCAGGTGTCTCGTGCGTGTTGGTGGAGTAAAGTGTGTCTTCCCAGATACGATGTCTGGCCCAGCGAGGAAGAGTAGGCCAAATATCCTCTACAATGTAGCTCTTGCCTATAACGTGTTGGGTCGGCCTCTGAATGTTACCATTATTTCTGATCCCAGTTACCTTCCTGAAACATTCGTGGTTACACACAGGGAGAAGATGCGAACGAGTCTCTAATTCAAGTGTGAACTACCTCCGTGGCCATAAGAAGTATAGCCGATGCAGCCATCATTCCATGAATGCGGGTTTTTAGTTCCCGTGTAAACACGTGGGTGACTTGGGCCTCCAGGTATGTTGCAAACATTTGCAGATCGGGTCCCACTCCGTTTTGATGATATCTGCAGTTGTTGTACGCCCCACGTGTCCCAGAAGCTTTCCCCATGTTCACACCCTGTGAAGGACAATTGATCCTCCTCCTCCTTCAGGTGTGACATCTGAAACGACCTCCTCTTCGTCGGCAACACAGTTTGAGATCCGCAGAAAAATCCTCCACCAATGTTATTATATATGCATTATGGTTCCATGTTCCTCTTAAAAGGCTGACATTTTGTGAGTTGCCAATCTACACTACGCCGATTTATTTATGTTTGCCGCTGGTTCCACGCGCCCACTGCTTGCGACGACATCGTCGATCGCAGCTTGTGTTTGTGTCCCCCGATTCTTTCAGTCTCATTTTTGTTTTCCCAACCTATTTTTTGTTTCTCTCACAGAATCACGTGTTTTCAAGCTTCACTTTTGCGCATCTCCGTTGATCGCTCCTCTTGCCCAACGAGCCCTTTGCGGCTCCAGGACAATTTGTCCTGTTCGTAGGGGTGTCCCCTGCAACTATTAATGTGCGATCCGTCGTTATGCCAGTTAATATATAAAGGCACATAAAGAAGGGCCAATACTAGAAACGTCGATGATTATATATTTGTTGGCTTAAGGCCACGGTGTTATGAAGGAATGTGTTGAGAGTTTGTGCTTGTGTATCACTGCCAACGCAACAGCAGGATCACCCAATAAGTTGTTAAACTACTCAATGCATTATTTTAAGTCAGGGGTGGGGAACCTTTTTTCCACCAAGGGCCATTTGGATATTTATAACATAATTCGCGGGCCATACAAAATTATCAACTTAAAAATTAGCCTGTTATATTTGGTCAAACATTTAATTAACTCACTCCTAATGCGATGGCTGGAACTGCTTCTCATTGGCGAGGCGTGTGATGTTAGCTGGTATTTATGATGTTGTTGCTACTCGCAACTGATTTTCCAGGTTTGCTCCGAGATTTATTGAATTTCGAGTCCCGCCTGCGGTTGCCTTGGCAGGGCCACACCAAATGATTTCGTGGGTCTCATGAGGCCCGCGGGCCGGACGTTCCCCACCCCTGGTTTACGTGGCGACATCCATTTAACAACATTGCTTCTCTTCTACGCATTCGAGTTGATCCGAAATCAGCGACCTCCTCTCGAGCATGTTGAAGCACCCGGCGTGAGGATCATCCATCGGTGGAAACCTCACCCGGTCACTCGACGCTGCCCACCAATCCTCTCTCGATTGCAGCCGTGCAGCCCAGCGATGTTCACAGCGGCCGGCGCTGCTGCCACGCTCGCGCTCACGCTGGTGCTGGCGTCTCGTCCGGCGCCATCATCGTCTTCGTCTCCGTCCAACTCCTCCTCCTCCTCCTCGTCTCCCTCCACCCCAGCTCGGCCCAACATTGTGCTCGTCGTCTGCGACTCTATGGACGGGCGGCTCGTGACGGCGCCGCGGTCGCCGGTGCCGCTGCCGTGGATTGCGCGCCTGGCGGCGGCCGGGGCGGCCTTCGCCACGGCGTACACCAACTCGCCCGTGTGCTGCCCGTCCCGCGCCGCCCTCTGGAGCGGACTTCACACCCACGTCACCGCCGCGTGGAACAACCACAAGTGTCTGCCGCCAGGTGCATGGGGGTGGGGGGGATGTCGCGTCGTTGGCCGTCAACGCGAAGCGGCCACGTGGCTCAGCGGTGGAGCGAGCGGTCGAGCGAGCGAGTGGTGGAGCGACCGGTGGAGAGAGTGGACAGGGGAGTGAGTGAGTGGTGGAGCGAGCGGTGGAGAGAGTGCGTGTTGGTGCGAATGATGGTGCGAGTGAGTGGTGGAGCGAGCGAGCGTTAGAGAGTGAGTGGTGGTGCGAGTGGTGGAGCGAGTGAGTGGTGGTGCGAGTGGTGGAGCGAGTGAGTGGTGGAGTGAGCGGCTCTTGCAAGTCGTACAGCTGCAGCTGCTGCTGCAGAGCTCCACCACGACCTGCAGTGCAGGGTGACAGGAGCAACGCGATGCGCACACCGTATCGCGAAACCCAACGTCAACACCGTATCTTGCACATTGCTGTCGTGTCACGGTAAACGATGTCGCGGCGGTGACCCCTGACCCGCGCCAGGCTACCCGACGTGGCTCGACCGCCTGCGTGCCGAGGCCGGCTACACCACGGCCGTGTTCGGCAAGACGGACTTCACGTCGGGCGGACACTCGCTGAGCAACCGCGTGGAGGCGTGGACGCGCGGCGTGCCGGGGCTGCTGCTGCGCCAGGAGCCGAGGCCCCGCGCGCAGCTCGTGGGGGGCGAGCGCACGCGGAGGGTGCAGCTCCGCGACTGGAACAACACGGACCGCGCGGTCCGCTGGATCCGCGACGTGGCGCCCGGGAAAGGTGGGCGCCAGCCCCCGCGTGGCGGGCCGTGGGGAATCACCTCGGGCATCCAGCTGGAGACGGTGATCGCCGAGAGTTAACGATGATGACGGTGACAGTCACACGGGTGGAAAAAACCCGATTTTTCCAGCGGCAGGCATCGGGTTTTTTCTTTATTACAATTAAACCCGATTTCGGGGAATTAAGACCTGGTTTAATGAATACGAAACTCTGATCCAAGGCTTAGGCTGCTTCCTCGTCGGTGCTGCTATTGTACTCGGGGCCGTCGGGCACGGGGTAGTCGTAGAATGCGGCGGGCAGGTTGGTCTTGATGAACACGAGCTTCTCCACAATCGTGGGCGCCAGTGAGTTCCTTAGCTTGGAATGTATGAAGCCCATCGTTGAGAAGTGCGGTTCTGCAATTAGAACCAATTAAACCGGATTTCTCCCATTCTCAGATGATCGGGTTTAATATAAAAATACAATTAAACCCGATTGTAAAAAACCCGACTGTGCCACCCTTGGACAGTCATCAACTCTCTCGGTTGTCCCGGGGGGAGATGATGGGGAGGGCTGGGGAACGGATTAAATAAAGACGTGGCTATAATGTGAGTTGGGGTTGAGCAAAATGTATTGTTTAAATGCGTGGCATTGGGGTGGAAATCTTAAGAACGTGGTCATTATTCGACACAACGATGCAGAGAACACGTTGCACACAGTATTTGGACGCACATTCTGCGCTAATCGCACTTTGTACGCTGTTGGATAATTGTGCACTGATTATACATCGTATGCTATATTTGAACAATGTACACTGGTAATACATTTTACACTTATGGTACATAGTACGCGAATTGTATACGACACACCATTTATTTACTGTACTCCAATTTAGATCGTACCATATTTGTATATTCTATGCTGGTTATATATAGTCCACCAATATTTCCAAACTCATAACATTTTGGAAACCGGTGACATTTCCTCCTCCTCCTCCACCTCCTCCTCCATCCCCCTCCCTCCTTCATCCCCTCCCACGCCTCTTCCTCCTCCATCCCCTCCACCACCCCCACCTCCTCCTCCTCCTCCACCTCCTCCATCCCCCTCCCTCCTTCATCCCTTCCCCCGCCTCCTCCATCCCCTCCACCACCCCCGCCTCCTCCTCCTCCACCTCCTCCTCCATCCCCCACCCTCCTTCATCCCCTCCCCCGCCTCCTCCTCCTCCACCTTCTCCTCCATCCCCCTCCCTCCTCCATCCCCTCTACCACCCCCGTCTCCTCCTCCTCCTCTACCTCCTCCACCATCCGCAGCTCCCTTCGCGCTCTACCTGGGCCTCAACCTGCCGCACCCGTACAAGACCCCGTCCGCCGGCCCCAACGCCGGCGCCTCCACCTTCCGCACGTCGCCATTCTGGCTGCGCCGCGTGCGCCGCGGCGCCGTCGTGGTGCCGCGCTGGCTGCCGCCCGACGAGACCCACCCCTCCGACGCGTACGCCACCTTCGTCAAGAACTGCTCGGGCCCCTTCGCCGACGACGAGGTCATCGCGGTGCGCGCCGCCTACTACGCCATGTGCGCCGAGACGGACGCCATGCTGGGTGCGGTGGTGCGCGCGCTGGGCGCCGCGGGCTTCCACCTGCATGGCGACACCTACGTGGCGTTCACGTGCGACCACGGCGAGCTGGCGCTGGAGCACCGGCAGTACTACAAGATGAGCATGTACGAGGGCAGCGCGCGCGTGCCGCTCGTCATCGCCGGGCCCAGGGTGCGGCCGCGGACGCAGCACCGTGGTGGCGATCGTGGTGGTCGCGGTGGTTGTGGTGACGGTAGTGTTGCTGGTGGTGGTGGCAATGACGGTGATGGTGAGCATGGTGGTGGTGATGGCGGCAGTGGTTTTAGCGGTAGTGCTGGTGGCAGTAGTGGCGATCGTGGCGGTGGCGGTGGCAGTAAAGGTGGTGGTCGTGGTGGTCGTGATGGTGGCGAAAGTACCGGTGGTGGTCGAGGTGGCACTTGCAGCTATGCTGGTGGTCAAGGTGCTGCTGGTGGTGGTCATGGTGGTGCTGGTGTTGGTGGTGCTGGTGTTGGTGGTGCTGGTGTTGGTGGTGTTGGTGGTGGTGGTGCTGGTGTTGGTGGTGCTGGTGTTGGTGGTGCTGGTGTTGGTGGTGTTGGTGTTGGTGGTGCTGATGTTGGTGGTGCTGGTGTTGGTGGTGCTGGTGTTGGTGGTGCTGGTGGTGCTGGTGTTGGTGGTGCTGGTGTTGGTGGTGTTGGTGTTGGTGGTGCTGGTGTTGGTGGTGCTGGTGTTGGTGGTGCTGGTGTTGGTGGTGCTGGTGTTGGTGGTGCTGGTGGTGGTGGTGCTGGTGTTGGTGGTGTTGGTGGTGGTGGTGCTGGTGTTGGTGGTGCTGGTGTTGGTGGTGCTGGTGTTGGTGGTGCTGGTGGTGGTGCTGGTGGTGGTGGTGCTGGTGTTGGTGGTGTTGGTGGTGGTGCTGGTGTTGGTGGTGCTGGTGTTGGTGTTGCTGGCAGTCGTGGCGGTGGTGAGTGGACGACGAGGTCAGTCCTCGAGCAGACGTTGGTGTCCCTCGTGGACATCTACCCGACCATGATGGATATAGCGGGGCTGCCCGTGGACCCGCGTCTCAATGGGACGTCTCTGCTCAAGCTGCTGGAGCGACGGGGACGCACGGCACGCGCACGGAAGGGCGGCGGTGACGGCGTTCGTGATAATGATGTCGGTGGCGTTTTTCATGACGGCGTCGGTGATAGAAATTTTCACGCACCTCAATCTCTTCAACGGCATCGAAATAATTACCACCGTCATCACCGCCATCACGCTGCCCAAAATACCATCACCGTCGGTAGTGAGCATGCCGCTGATGGCAACCAACAGCGACACCAAACTCAACATCGCCGTCGTCGTCCTCATCGTCGCCAGCACCGCATTCATAACGCAACCAACTGCAACCTTCAAAACGACGCCGATGAAAACGAGCAGGACGACGAGGCGACCTCCTCCACTCGCCGTGACCTCGTCAAACTGTCCCGCGGCCACCGCTGGGCGCTGAGCCAGTTCCACGGCAGCGACCTCAACGAGTCGGCGTATATGCTGCGCGTGTCGCGCTGGAAGCTCGTGGCCTACGGCGAGGGGCCCTCCTCTTCCGCGACGCGGCCGCAGCTCTTCGACCTCGTCGCCGACCCCGAGGAGCTGCTCGACCTGTCGGCGTCGCGACCCCACCTGACCTCTCGCCTCGAAGCGGCGCTCCGCTCGCTGATCGACTACCCGGCGGTGACGCGCACCGCGCGCCGCTACGACCGCGACGCCTTCCTCGAGTGGCGCGCCGCCGCCGGGCCGCGCTACCGTGAGGCCATCGCGGGCCTGCGCTGGTACCGCGACTGGGCCGAGGACCCGCGGGGAAACCTCGAGGCCATCGACGCCTGGCTCGAGCGAGGGGAGTGATCACCAGTGGGGGGGGGGGGGGGGGGGGGTGGCACGTGCCCCCCCAATGATGCGTTCGAAATCCCTAATTTCGATCGGATCATTGGGGTTTATTAGTAATAAATAGGCATTTTGCGACCCCCACTGCCACTGTGTAGCATATTATTACTTGCCAGGGACTCTATGAGATGACAATAGTCTGAGTCTATAATTGGCATTAAGTAACGGCAAAGCAGTTATAAGTGACTCAGAATTGTGCGCAGTTGCGTAGATAGTACACGACTTCCCTGAAGGCATCAACACCTTCAGCGAGCACGATGCCGATCACACCACGCGGTTCGAATTCGACCCTCGATCGATGGCTGCGCCATCGCCGCACACGCGTCGAATAAAAAGCAAGGGACAAGTCCTTACTTACTAACAACTCCTCTATCATTTTTCATTGCTGGAGGGGTTGCCTCCCGTACCTGAAAATCCTGGCTCCGCCATTGGCAGGGATGTCCGTCAGTCCGGTTCGGTGACCCGGGAAACGTCTTTTTCGCGCAACCCGGCACACCGCGTCCAGTATGCCTCCTCTCGCTACGGTTTGTGGGCTACTAATAATCACGCGCCACTTACCAGCGACCTGTAAAATATTTAGCGAGGGGTTTAAGCCGTGGAATTATTTCGCATGACTGTGGCTGCGGTACCAGTGCGGTGCTCTGGGAAACGCGGCTGGGACTCAACTACAGCGAGGAGATCACGGTCACCATCGGCTCCAAACCCTCCAACATCACCGTGAGCTTAAGTGGACTATGGTGAGGTGGACAACCGTAGATACGGCCCGAAATACTGTATGTACCGTGTGTTGAACTTCTTTCGCACCGTACGTACCCAACCGTGTTAATCGGAGGTGTGGGGGAAGGACAACAAACTCAACACAAATAGCAGTTCTAAAGAAATGAGTTTTAAATTTCAATTTTAAATTGCAGAGCTCCAGTGGCCTCATAGTATGGGAAGGAAGAGCGTTTCAGACGTCGTGTTCTATTATCCTCCTGCCTACAGATGAACGTGTCGACTGGTAGTTTGTGATCTGCGTGTTGACTTGTAGGTAGGCCTGTAAAGTGTGATGGTTTCTACCTTGAGTATTAATTTCTGTTTTAAATAAACCTTACTTTTAAAATATAATACGTTTTATAGAGTCCAATGGGGTGGGGGGGGGGTGTCACAAGACATCTGGACCACTCTGTCGATCAGTGGTTCTTAACCTGGGGGTGCGAGACGTGGGCAGATTTTATTTCGAAGATAAATCATCGAAACACAAAGTAAGCAGTAAGTAAGTACAACTACTTTGTTTAATCAAACCTTGTGTATTTATTAACATCGTAATTGTTTTTGTTACAATTGAGAACCAAAGGGGTGCAAGGCTTGCACTTAAGGGTTTCAGAACCACTGATGTAGATTGAGTCGAGGATTGTTGTAAGGTGGCATTGGCGGCGGTGACGTGGCCAAGCCGAAGCTCTTAGCAGAGCGGTTCGCTGTTTGATCCCCGGTGTGTGAACAACAGCACCTCCCATGAGCACGGTCGGCTACGTACGGTGCGAAAGAAGTTCAACGTACTCCTAATACATACATACATCCGTACATACTACCTGCCTTCCACCTCACCGCAGACGTTTCAAGACCCCGTGGCGTTATTAAAATAAATATGGGTTAGGCCAAATTAATTAGCAAAAATGTTGTACTGTATTTACCAAAAACTTAGCAGGACCCTCCTGAAAAGAGGGCTTGAGACTCGGCGACGCCTCTACGGGTCAATGGATGCACAGTACTGTACCAACAATGTCAATCCGTACGCAGGTGGAGAGAATGTGACGAGGACGTGGTGGATTGTGGATTGGGCTGTAGGCACGATTGTCCATCCTGCTTCCCTTCAACACCCCACCAAGTCACCCCCCCAACTGCTCGATGCCACCTTAATGAGGCCATAGAACAGACAGAAGTTCGTTGTCGTGGTGGTGGATGATGGTGGTGGTGGTTGATGGTGGTGGTTGATGATGGTGGTGGTTGATGGTGGTGGTGGTGGTGGTTGATGATGGTGGTGGTTGATGGTGGTGGTGGATGATGGTGGTGGTGGTTGATGGTGGTGGTGGTGGTTGATGATGGTGGTGGTTGATGGTGGTGGTGGGTGGTGGTGGGGGAGGTTGATGGTGGTGGTGGTTGATGGTGGTGGTGGTTGATGGTGGTTGATGATGGTGGTGGTGGTGGATGATGGTGGTGGTGGTTGATAGTGGTGGTGGTTGATGGTGGTGGTTGATGGTGGTGGTGGTTGGGAGTTCCAGGCTGATTAGCTGCAGTCTCCGAATTTTCTCGAGCGAGAGGCGGCTACTTTCGTCGTCGTTGTCTCTTGTTGTGACCCTCGTCAATGTCCTCGTGCCCAGGGTCATCGTCACCAGGATCATCGTCACCAGGGTCATCATCACCAGAATCATCACCAGAATCATCGTCACCAGGGTCATCATCACCAGAATCATCGTCACCAGGGTCATCGTCACCAGGATCATCCTGACCAGGATCGTCACCAGGATCTTCGTCACCAGGATCTTTGTTACCAGGATCACCGTCACCAGGATCACCGTCACCAGGATCATCGTCACCAAGATTTTCGTCACCAGGGTCCTCGTTACTGCCGCCGTCTGTGCGGGCCCAGACACCGTCCATCACTTACGTCAGTCCGTTGATTCGATGATTCGAACAGGTGACTGTTGAGTTGCTTCGTCAATGAGTGATTTACTGAGACAATCCTTATTTAATCAGGTGAATGCCAATAGTTGATCCATTGTCACGAATCAACAATGTGTATTCGGCTGTATACTTTGTATGTCTGGGTGTACTTGCACACGTAATGCCCCCCTCCCTCCCCTCGCCGTTTGCAAATCTACTGCTGGATGAAGACCCACACGGCTGGTTGGGGTTGTTTGAACTCCGCTACGCTGGTGTCAGCGCGGCTTGGTGAAGGTGTGCGCCCGGGATCGGTTGAGAGATCACTCACCCACTGATGTTGTTCGCCTTGGCCTGGGGAATCAAACTCAGGTCGTCAGCACGTAATAGGCATACATAAAAGTTACTATTTTTTTTTATTAGGTAAGGCCCACTGAGCTATACAGCTATTTTTCCGAAGCAACCTGGCCACAAATGATACCTCAACGAAGTGGCTTATCACGTGGAAATGTATAGCAGCTAAATATTCTAAATGCGTGTTGATTCTAAATGTGGAGGGAAAAACCGGAGGACCCAGAGAAAGAGCCACGCGACCACGGGCAGAACACGCAAACTCCAAATATACAGCAGCAGGCGTCAAGGTCGGGATCGCTACTCCACCCTCCTGGCGAGGGGAGTGAACATTTGGCCAACCAACACACTCCAGGGTCCTCCAATGAAAACGGACAAGGGTAGTCTCAATGAGCCCTCACCTGCTTATTCGAGATGTTAACACTCACGGGTGCGGTCGCTCTTTGTATCCTGTCCAATGGCTAATGTCGAACTAAACACAACCGGCTTTCCAGTTCTTCATCTTAATTTCAGCCGGAACAGTCCCCGAACGCTGTTCCGAGAATTGCATGGGTTGGACCAGATGACGCCAAAAGAGTTGTGCGCCTTTTGGCGTCATCTGGTCCAACCCATGTGAGACTAGGCTCTAAGGAAAGCTGTCTCGGGTGTGGACCAATCAACTTAAAGGACAGTGCATACATGATCAGAGTTGTGTTTTTTTTTGCATTATGACTGCAGGTATTGTGGTCAATGCAAACATGACTCCTCGTAAAAAAGGTGTCAGTTTTGTTGCCAGATTAAAGGGTAAAAAAACAATTATCAGGCCGGAAGCTGCTAAGCAAGTGAGACTGCGTACCTGGCCGGGTGGGAGTTCGTGCCCTGGTGTCTGTCACCGTGACTGGCATGTATTGTAGAAGTGCGTTTGTCGAGGTCTGTCCTTTCCCTAGGTCCACTCAACCTTAGTGATAGTGCATACACACTGTACATCGCACCCAAACAGTCAACAATGGACACCACATTTGTATGCCTTTAAATATTTCGAATTTTTTTATTAAATAAAAAGTACAACTGTGCACCAGTGGTAAAAAAGAAAATCAAACACGGCTTTAATAAAATAAAAAAAACACCCGGGTACTATTGCAAATGAACAATCAAAATTCGCCGGCCCAACATTCATCTCGAGTCATTTTTACATTCACAATCTTCATGGCTTTAAACTTTAAACATTACACGGATACGGTAACACGCAGTAGTAGTCGTAATAACATCATATTTTTTTGTCGAGAGAAAACTTCTTTTAAAAAGCAGGTCGGGATAATTCTTTTTTAAAGCCAGTTTCTGAGATTAGTTTTAAACCAACTTTATCAAAAAAGTATACTCTCCCAATTATCCTGGGCGATTGGGGGAATCGGGTAATTGGGAGGTGGGTATAGGGCTCGAATAAAAGTAAAATAAAATAAAAAGCGTCAAGCAAAGCGTATTCCTCCACAGTTGAAGACATCGAATGTGACGCGCAGTGTGTCACGTGGGCACAGTCTCTGACGAGATAGGAGGAGGATCTGATATTAAAACTCGCGCTCGTGCCAGAAGACAACAGCAAGGAGAACGTGCCACGGTTAATCCCGCACCGGGCAAAATCCGAGAGAACCAACTGTAATTTTGCAGATCCCTCCTGTAAACCTTTAAATTTTTAAGGAAACCAACCCGTGTAGTGTGCACGCAAATACACCCCCAATAACTTACAATTATAACCCAGGAATATTTAAAACATAATACCGTTCCTCCTGTAATCCGGAGAGTATGATCATTGCAACTATCAGACACAGGAGGTGTTAAGGTCGGCAAGGGTTGCTCTTTGCAAGGATGCGAGGCCTGCCTTGGCCTGTAAACATGTGATGAATTATGAACGTGTCTTTTTTAAATAGGTTCAAATAGGTCATTAAAAGGTTATTGTCTGAGTAAAGTGTCATAACAGATCATGTTTTCAGGAATCATCTGAAAAAAATTAAACTTCACAAATTTGTTTCGAACAAGAGATCCATGTGGGGCTACGTTGTCAGCAGAGAGCCGTGCATTAAAAAAACACGTGATTATTGTACTGTAGTAATAGGTTTTTACCCTTTCAACTGGTACAAAAACTGACACCTTTATACAAGGCATCATGTTTGCAATAACCACAACACAAGCAGTCAAAATGCAAACAAAAAGAAAAAACTCTGATAATGATATGCACTGTCCTTGAAGTTGATTTTTCCACACCCGAGATAGCTTTTCTTAGAGCCTCGTCTCCATTGGTGTTGGACGCCAAAAGGCGTCATATGGTCCAACACCAATAGTCCAACCCCAATGGAGACTAGGCTCTAATAAAAGCTGTCTCGGGTGTGGACCAATCAACTTCAAGGACAGTGCATATCATTATCAGAGTTGTTTCTTTTTGTTTGCATTTTGACTGCTTGTGTTGTGGTTATTGCAAACATGATGCCTTGTACAAAGGTGTCAGTTTTTGTACCAGTTGAAAGGGTAAAAACCTATTACTATATTTTGCCACTGGTAAAGGAGATGTCTCATAGTGTTGTACTGTACTTTGCTCCAACGTCTATCTCCCCCACCTTCACTAACCCACACTGGCCCCCGGGACTCGCACGACGTTGGCAGAAGGCTTCTCATCCAGCAGTGGATTGACAAAATGGCTGCACGTTTATGCCACTGTTTTTTTTGTTAGAAGTTACATCCTTGAATTCCATGATCCATAAGCAAGCAGGTCTCATCAAGATATCAAATCGGACCCAACGAGTCTCAACCATTAAAACGATCCCGAGCACAGCACTGGAAATTCCATAATGCTATGACGGGGGGCCCAATCACTCCGTAGGGTGACACCACTGCCAGGTTTGGGTACGACAGTTATTGGGTGTTTTGTGAGGGTAACATGTTTCGAGGGCATTTGGCGCCGTTGCAATTTTGGTCCTGGGCCACATACTAAACCATTTTTTTTTATTTTACCAGGTAAGGCCCACTGAGATAAATATTTCTTTTCAGAAGCGACCTGGCCACAAATGATAGCTCAGTGAAGTGGCTTATCACGTAGGAGTCAAATACTCTCAACGCATGCACCGTACCTCCTAATAATTAAACGGCGATAATAAGAACGATATTAACTATTGCTGGCCACGAACCAATAAACGGCCGCGACACACGCAAACATCTATATTGCAGGCCACAGTACCAAAATCACGTAATTTTTATAAAAAAATAGAAACATTCAAAACTGGTCGATCACTAATTTCCAACTAAACGCGCGATAAAAAACTATCCCCGATTAATTACGACGATTCAGTTTTTGTTGTTAAAAAAAGTCTTTAAAATGTGTCCTCAATTCCACACGACACAGGGTGATCCATTTATAGATAATAACTCAAAATGACAGCGTCGTTGTGGAGAACATTTAGTAAGATTGTTCTCCACAGCGAAGCTCAAGATTATTTCAAGTTATGGATTGCTTTAGAATTTTGCGTCGTACAGTGAGCCCCTTGCCTGTAAGATCTGGCTCACCAGCGTCACCACAAGCAAGCCCGACTCTGCTGCTGATGGGACAACTGTTTATCAAAACTGGCCCAGAGTTTGCCTATTTTTGTATCAATGCTGCCGAAATTATGCGCCCCCGGAAGGCTCTGTGCACACGTTTGTGAAAGAGACATTGTCCGCTTATTTTCAAATATAAAGACGCCTTACTGATTTACGATGATCACTTACTTCCTGCTTCTCAAGGGGCAATGTGAAAGTGATGGCTCGGTATCTTAGAGAGGGGGGGGGGGGTGGAGGTGTTACACAATTTATCAAGTGTGTTGAAACTGGTGAGACGCGAGTAGAGGCTTTTAAATAAAATTTAGCTTTATCTGGAATCTCCCCATATCTATAAATGGATCAACCTTTACATGCATACACACTACTAAATTATGTTCAGACATACACAATGCATTTTTGTTGGCTTTTAGAATACACATCTTAACATAGCTTCGAATGTAATACGTAAAAGGTAGTGGGCTAACAGATCCCATGAAAAGGGTATACACTTTTTCTAAATGTGTGATGGATGGCATTTTACTTAACACCTGTGAAACCATTGGGTTGACAGTAATCATCAACAAAATAATAATCCACTTAGGAGCCGCAAGAAGGGGCTATGGGACAGATTGGAAATTGAGCTGCATAAAGAACTGTCCATACCCCCAGTTATCTTCGCCCTGGCTCCCATTGATGGGTTCCATGCCAAATTTACTTCGAGGCGACAGTGGAGTGAAATTTCAGACTCCCGTTGACCCAAGATCTCCTCGCTGTGTCCTCTTCCCAACCGCCCCGTGTGAAACTATCATTATTGGGAACCAGAGGTGCAGCTTTCGAGTGTGCAGAAGGTGTAACTGGACCAGAAGCACCAAGCTCCGGCCTACGTAGTCAGGAGGTGGGGGGTGAGGGTGAGATATTGCAGGAGGCCCCACATTTCACTCTTTGCATGAATGGCCCATGGCAACCTGGCCACACCAAGGCCTGTTAGATAAACCATTATAATGGTAGATGACCTCATAGCTGCTCTCACCACGGCATTGGATTAGCAGCCAGAGGAATGTGGTGGCTTGGTCGCCATTTTAATTCAGTTCAGTTTTATACCAAAACGCAAAGCACGCATGGCGGGAACACTTGTTTTGCCGCGAGACCTGTAGATTAACTCCTACACATCGACAGGGAACCACATCTCTTAGCTGCAGTTAAACAGCTGCCAATAACCGAGTTATGACTGGGTTCTAAATTTGGAATTTTTGTTTTAATTAATGAAACATCAGGTAGGTAGACGACGCGCTGCGAGCTTACATTGACATGCCAATCACATTTACACAGTACATTTACATGCAAATGTCTCATTTTAACATCACTAGCCCCCCCCCCCCCCCCCACTTCGTTTATGACTCTGGGGCTACGCAAATCTCTAACCTTTACAAGCAGCCTGCATCAGCAGCTTACCTCCTCTTTCTTCCGCCTGACGACGATTGGTTGCGTTGCGATCGAAACGTCGTGATCTATTATTTTTTCTACCTACGTGACTTTACCGAAATAACCAAAGAGTATGGATTCCTGCAGTCATGAAAGCTTCAATTCAAGACAATTAAATTAATCGCTGTCGTGCTGATGTTTTTACCACCAACCACAAAAACTACTCGCCCCACTTCCCTTCCCCTTTGCGCTCCAGATCCACCCACAACCACGACTACATTCTTGGTCAGGACTATACAAATCTACTGGACATCAGTGAAAAAAGAGCCTTATCGCTCATCCGATTCCTCCGGTATAAATACATATTTTGATCAACATTCCGGCTGTTAAAGTCACTCTTCATCGGGCGGGGGGGGGGGGGTAAGTACGCCCCCCACCCACTCAGCCGGCGTGAACACGCACACGGGCAACGGTTCCAGGAAACTTTCAGTCGGGTGGCATTGGCACCCCTTGCAGTTCATTTGTCGAACCCGTGCAAGGACGATGAACACGGGTTACCATGTGTGCACGTCCGTGCGTGACCAGGGTTCAGGTTGGCGACCCAGAAAACATTTCGGTACCCTGGCACACCACACCCAGAATATATACCTACAGACACACGTCTGGCTACGGCTACTATTGCTAACCACGTGCCACCCCCGCTGGTTTAATCTAGTCCTCTGGAGGACCCCAGAAAAAAATTTCAGCAAAAGATGAATCCCTTGCCAACTGTGTGACCTAGGCGTGGAGCGATTCGCACTCCCACAAGCAGGTCCACAAGCAGGTCCGCAAGAAGGCGTGGAGCGATTCGCACTCCCACAGGTCCGCAAAGAATCTTTAAAATTCGGGGGCTACAATTCAACTCAATATTCGAGATTTTAGTGTAATATTCTTCGCATCGTTGTTATCGCGCTCGACTCCTCTACCTTTTCCCTGAAGGTAACATCGTGTATCGTGCACGCAAACAATAAAATCTGTTGAGACTGGCGTTTCTTTGACAGTCGAAATTAGCGTGCATTGCAGACGCACGCGGCAACGGGGAATATTTTCAGCGAGAGGGGGTTACAAGACAGCAATGCTGCCAACACTTCGGCCCAACAGCCCGGCTCGTGTCGGCTAAACCCTTGACAAGCCGGCCCCGAGTGCATTTGTCGTCAAGTTTGGGGTTTGTGTATTAAAACTCATTGTTGACATCACATGGCAATGGAGTAAGTTGTGCTGTTGCATGTTGGGTCAGGCTTCAGTTCCGTTGCTTGAGGTTCCATCATCTCGCGCCACCGTTTAAAAGTGTCTACCTACGTTTGCCTTTGTAGGTTTAAAATAACGACGTTTACGGTAACAAAACAATAAAATAAAAAAACGCATTTCAGGCGCGCGCACACAAACGTCTGCGTTTTCCGTCAATGGTTCGGGTTTCTCTTCTGCAAAAAGTACACCTTCCATATTTAATAAATAAGACGGAACTTATTGGGCCTGGGGGTCACAACTCCTGTGCCTGGTGTCATGACCCCACGAGCACCTCCATGATGTGTTCCAAATCGGAGAGCTCCGCTTTCCACTGTGATGCGGGCGTCCCCGACGCCTCGCTGCCACACGCCACCGGGAAGCACCGCAGCCACGGGTCTCCGCTTCCATCGCTTTCTCCGCCGCCGTAACCGCCCGCCAAGACCGGCGCTGCGCCGCCATCGCCGGTGCTGCCAGCGGCGCAGCTCGCGAGCACTCCCGGAGAGAAGAGGTCAAAGTCGTAGAGCGCCGTGTCGATCTCGGCAAAGATGTCGTCGAGCGTGTGCGAGAGGTCCATGGCGAGGTACGTGGGATCAGGGCCGCTGAGCCCGGCCGCCTGCAGCAGGGAATCTGTCAGCGACACCGTCGACAGCTCCGTGCCCTCGTCCCAGCTGCAACTTGGCTTCCAGAAGAGCTCTTCTGTAGGCCACGCGAAAGGTGCCGCCGCTTCTGCTGGCGCTGCAGCGGACGCAGCTGCCGCCGCCGCCGACGCGCCGCGCCGCGACTCTTCGCCACCGCTCCACGGCGCCGGTGACCGCACGGCTGCCGCGGCATCAATCTCGGCAGGCGCAGCCCTCGACGGAGTGTCGGGCACGAGCGGCCCGCGGGTCGCGAGGTCGATCGGCGGTGTCGTCACTCTCGCGTCGAGGAACTGCGCCGGCGTCGTCGTCGCCGTCGGCGCCGTCACGGCACAGCGGCGCCTCCGCCGTTTGGCACGCATGTCCTTCTTCAGCCGGTGCGTCATGTTGGCTACGAGCACCGAGCGCCGGAGGCAGGGCTCGCGGTGGGCGCGGTACGCGTTCATCTTGGCGATCGACAGGCACAGGGCGCCCTGCATCAGCTCCGAGTCCGGGGGGCGGTCCCCCCCACTGCCGCTGCCGCCCCCAAAGCGACACCGCTTCGGGGGGGGGCTCTCTTGCTCGGCCCAGTCCTCGCCCACCGTCCACCACTCCTCTTCCTCCTCCTCCATCGCCTCGGTGTTCTCCATCTCGTTGTCGTCGTTGTCGTCGTCGTCATCCGCTGCCGATGTCGTCATCGCCGCGGGGCCCGGGCCGCGATCGTCGCGGGTCCAGGAGTCCCCGGCGCGCTTGCGTTTGGCAAAGCGGCTCAGCAGCTTTGCCTCGATGGCCTGCGTGACAAGCAGCGGGGGCGGGGACAGGTGGACAGGCGATGAAGAGGCGGTCAGAGGGATGCCGGGGTCAGATTCAACGTCGCGATAGGCGTCTCGCCACCACGTCACAGTTTATCACAATAACGTGCCAAACGGTATTTAATCGCTCATGAAGGGACGACTCAGGTGCGAGGAGGAGCCACAGCGAGGCGGGTGAACCAGTGCCAAATCCCCCCCAAAGCTCTGCGGCTCACTATATATCAAGATGTCTTTAGCCTATGCATGAGCGTTTATACATGTTGGAGGAAACTGGAGCGGTCGCGCAAAACCCACGCGTGCCAGAGGGCAACACTGTGCCGCCGTCTCCTGGCGAGCCAGGGTATTGCACGTCCCCGACACCCACCTGGGGAGGGAGTTCCACAAAGAATCGTGCGAGCCACCGACCCTCACTAACTCCGCAGCGCTGCATTGCAGGCCACGTTGCGTAGCCACCTCCGTGGCGAAAGACAGAGCGGCGCGTGCGACTGCAGAAACACCGACCGCAGGGTGGTAGCGAACCTCCATAAACTTCCAACCATTCAACGGAGGCACGAAAGTAAATCCCCCCCCCCCCCACATCAGCCGAAGCCGTTTTCTGGCCGAGCTAATCTGGACGTAGCATTGTGGGTTGCCATTCATGCAGTCACTCGCAAGAAGACGACCGTGTCAAGGGGAGGATGTTGATTAAGAACAGTGCAAATGCTGCGATTCATAAACAAAAAACTCTCACGCCGATGATAAAGTGTAACAAATCGAAAGCGTAAAAACGATGCCAAGGGATGTTTGCCAATGATATGATAACGCTGTCACACGCTCAGACTAATGCGGTAAAACAAAACACAACCAGATGGCATAGATGAGCACAGAGCAATGAGACGATACAAACGAGACAGAGCGAATGAAAATACACAAATGAGACGCAACGCAGAGGCGACAACACAGAGATGCAACGCAGAGGAGACGCAACGCACACTTAACAACACCACAAAGGACACTACAAAAACACAATTGATGCCCGAATCGGCACCTTGAAATCAGGGTGGGAGGGGGGCACTCAGCAGGTAACCATCAACTCCCCCTCCTCTGTCAGTGCCCAAAAACTTCCCAGTGCTCTCAGCAGTCACCATGCGAGTTTTCCCCTCGGTATAGGGGAGATCCCCTTCACACAGGGATCTCCCCCCCCCTCCCCGCAGAGCTGGTCGGGGTGACCTCACCGCTACCGGCTGCCACAGGACACCCCCTTAAATTCCTTTTTGACCACGCGTGGGAAATTGGGCCGCGGGATTTCACTTTTCCCGATACGTCCGCGAAGAAAAGCTCTCGTCGCCGCAACGATTGTCGAACTCGGACCCTGTGTCCGTTGTCGAACCGCACAACAACGAATGCCAACACACACACACACACGGGTTGGTGGCTGTTTCACCGCAACCACGGAAATACAACTTACGTCCCCCATCAGCCTACGAGCTTTCCAAACAAATAGTTTTGCTTCAGCGGACGTGTGTGTTTATACGGGCAAAACCTGGGCAGGGTTTTTTTCGTGGTATGTCTCACCAGAAAGTATAAAACATAGGTTCCTTGGGTTTAAAGTAATATCGAAATAATGTTTGTTTAGTCCATCACCCTACGTGCCCTCTGAACCAAAGATTTCCACAGCAGCATTTGATTGAAGCAGTAAACACCGGGACTTTTTTTGACATTATGAGTCCCATCAGCAGACTTTTAAGACGCAAATGTTCTTGGGTTATAATAAGCTAATCTACAAGCACAAGCGCCTCCTGGATGAATGATTTACAGCTGAAATTGCAGTGAACTTCCTTGTTATTTTCAAAACGGGGTTTTCTCTCTGCAATACCGAGCAAATGTCAAGCCAAATATCCACCGTTGTAACAGACACAGATGGTGCAGACAGACAGACAGAGATATGAGCTTCAGTTACAGTCAGTTAACCCACTGAGCCCAGAATGTATATTGTTAAAGGTAGACGTGGGTTTAAATAGTCACAGCCAAATATTAAACCAGACTTAAAACAAATCCATATCATTACAATGAGAATTGTAGATTTTTCGCCCAGAGACTTTCACAGTACCCACAGACTGACCATAGCCTTATATACATAAGAATCCACATACTGAGAAAGACCCAGATACCCAGACTAGAAGATCTATGGAGACTTGCACATATATCCACACAAAGACACCCACTGACAAACAGATCCACACACTTACAAGAGACTCATACAGAGGCCAATATACAGGCCCCCGTAAAGAACTTACAGTGACCCATATGTAAACATTGCATTCCATAGACTTAACGCACGGCATAACGCAAGTAACATAACAATGGACAATAAACACAACATCAAACACCGAGCGTAACACAGAATGACACAAATAACAACACAGCATAACATACGCATACCTACACTATACACACTGCATCATGTACCCTAACATACAGCATACAACGCACACACACTTCACACAGCATACACAACACAAGTTACACCACACGTGCACAAGCAACACGCATACAGGCAAAGCATGAAACAGACATAACGCCCTTAGCAAACACACGTACACAACAAACACAGTACGAGCACACAGCACACAAGAGAATGCTCTACAACAGCACTGCAACGCACAGCATAACACACACACATCAAATGGCACAACACGTGTACAGCATAAACACACAGCACAACACACAACGTGCAATAACGAACAACACAGAAAACAATACACAAACTATTAAACAAATAGTATCACAGTAAAACGGATAGAAACAGCATAAACACACACACAGCACAGCAAGCCAGACACCCTTCTCTCGATTGGCGCGAGGGTTGACTTCACCATACTTCACCACGCCGGTCACGTTCAACAAAATAACCCTCGCGCATTGCGACCGGCGCGGTGAAGTATGGTCAAAGCAAGAGATAACCCCGTCCCCATCCGGCAGTGGATTGAAGGAAGGGCTGCTGCACACACGACACGTGTGACACGCACACGTACCCTTTGCAACAACAACAACAGCAGCAGCAACAACAACAACAACAGGGCCTGTCAATCAATCACGGGCGGTGGCGAATTTGACGACCCCCCCGCCTCCCCCTTGACAGTGGCCTCAATTGAGTTTTTTCAAAACAAAAGCCCGTGGTGGAACTCTCGCACACCTCCCCTCCCCACAGGCGACAACCTTCTAACTTTTCAGATGGGGGGGGCGGTAACAAAGGAGTTAAATCTTGACTTAAAGCTTTCGTGACTGCTGGAATTCATATTTGTTTGGTAATTTTTATTATTATTATTTTATTTCCTTTGAACCTATCTACGTGACTTTACCGAAAGATCCAAATAATATAAAATAAAGAGTTGCGCCCGGTTTTAGGATTCAATAAATATACCTGGAAACTTTGACCCCCACCCCCCCCCCACTGACCTCCAGCCCCGTGGGGTCCGAACGAGTCCCTTGATCGGCGGCGCCTCTCGCCCCCCCCCCCCTGTTCGGAGCCCCCCCTCCTCCTCCTCCTTAGGCAGCCCCCCAATGGAGTAGTACCCCCCCCTCAACACCAACACCACCGCCCCCCCCCTTCTCCATGGAGATCGTCACCCACTCATTCAGCCAGGAAAGTTTCCAAAGTTCCCCCCTTTTGAGTTGGCAAGCGGTCAAAAAAAGTCTCGATTATATTCTTGGTTCTTTTGGTAAAGTAACGTAGAAGGGAAATAAGAAAATAAATATAAATTACATATAAAATATTGTTTCATATTTATATTATTTTATTATTTCCTTCTACGTGACTTTACCGGATGAACCAAGAATATGAATCCCTGCAGTCACGAAAGCTTTAAATCAAAAGTCTCGAGTGCCTCGTTCGTCGTCTCGAGCACCGCAGGTCCCGTCAAGCACGATGATCACGATGTATATCGAGTCGCTGGCACATTTGAGTTCTCTTCGAGGCACTCGGTACCCGTGGGTTCCAAGTGTACCAGGCTCTAAAGAACGTTTAAGTCGAAAGTACATCTGATCCTCAATTACCTGTGAATCCACAAGTACCTATGAGTCTCAAGTACTTGAGTTCCATGGACCCATGAGTCCCAAGCACCTACACAAGTCCCAAGCGCCTACGAGACCCAGATCCCTATGAGTCTCAAGCACCTACGAGACCCAGGTTCCTATGAGTCTCATGTACTTGACCACCGTGTAACCCACAAGTCTCAAGTACCTACGAGACCCAGGTCCCTATGAGTCTCAAGCACTTACGAGACCCAGGTTCCTATGAGACTCAAGTACTTGAGCACCATGTAACCCACAAGTCTCAAGTACCTACGAGTTCCATGGACCGATGAGTCCCAAGTGTCTACGAGAGTCTGAAGTACCTATGAGTCTTAAGTACCTACGAGACCCAGGTCCCTAGGAGTCTTAAGCACCTACGAGTTCCATGTACCCATGAGTCTCGCTCAACCTCCGAGTCCCAGTAAACCTATGAATCCCAAGCACATCCGAGTCCCAGGTTCCTATGGTTCCTATGAGCCCCAAGCACCTCCGAGTCCTACCATGAACACTCTCACACACACGTGTGTGTCTGTGTGAGTGTTCATGGTGGTGTGTGTGTGTATCAAAGTCCCGGGTTACCTGCCTGTTCGCAGGTCTGTGCGGCAGCCGCGTTGGCGCCGGAGTCGTCGCTTCTGCTGAAGGAGCTCGGGCGAGCTTCACGCCAAGCCGGCGGGGATGGTGATGTGGTGGTGGTGGTGTGGTGGTGGTGGTGATGTGGTGGTGGTGTGGTGATGATGTGGTGTGGTGGTGGTGGTGATGTGGTGGTGGTGATGTGGTGGTGGTGTGGTGGTGATGTGGTGGTGGTGATGATGTGGTGTGGTGGTGATGTGGTGATGTGGTGGTGGTGGTGATGTGGTGGTGTTGGTGATGTGGTGGTGATGGTGGTGATGTGGTGGTGTTGGTGGTGATGTGGTGTTGGTGATGATGGTGGTGATGTGGTGGTGGTGATGATGATGGTGGGGGGGAATCCCGGGGCGACCGAGTGGCCAGTGACGTGCGTCCTCCCCGGTTGAACGCCCGGCCCCGAGTGGTCTCGGGACATTGCCCTCCCCCGGCACACGCACGCGTCCCCCTCCCTCCCCCCTCGCCCAGCTCCCCCCCCCTCCCTCCTCGCCCCTCCCCCCTCCCTCCCACCTCGCCCAGCTCCTCCCCCCCTCCCTCCCTCCCCCCCTCCCACCTCGCCCAGCTCCTCCCCCCTCCCTCCCACCTCGCCCCTCCCCCCTCCCTCCCACCTCGCCCCTCCCCCCTCCCTCCCACCTCGCCCCTCCCCCCTCGCCCAGCTCCTCCCATGCACCGCCCCCCCCAGAGACAAACAACAACAACAACAACAACAACCGCCATTCGCCACTAAGTGGCGGTGACGTCACCACGATGCTTGTGCCAGGCCAAGTTGCACCTTGAGGCCACGTGAAGTGTCGAAAGCCCGCTGGCAGGAGGTCACCACCAACATCACCAGCAGCAGCAAAGACAAAGATCCCCGTGTAGGCTGTAACAGACTGTTGGGGCAAGTGCTGCTAGCGTGTAGCACATATGCAGGCCGGCACTGTGGCACACACGAGGGAGGGGGGGCAAACACCACGCCCGGCCGCCTTGTCTCCCAGTGACGATGTTTTTACGCACCGCACCATTTGAGCCGAGTCGACCCTAGGGGAAACCCAGGACGAGGTTCTCGGGCGCCGGGTTCGTAGCGCGGCGTGCTAACCCCTTAGGCTTACCGCTCACCATCAACACCACCACCATCATCATCATCATCACCACCACCATCATCACCACCACCATCATCATCACCCACCATCATCACCACCACCATCATCATCACCACCACCATCATCACCACCACCATCATCACCACCACATCATCACCACCACCATCATCATCACCACCACCATCATCACCTCCACCATCAACACCACCACCATCATCACCACCATCATCATCACCACCACCACCATCATCACCTCCACCATCAACACCACCACCATCATCACCACCACCATCATCACCACCATCATCATCATCACCACCATCATCATCATCACCACCACCATCACCACCACCATCATCACCACCACCATCACCACCACCACCATCATCACCACCACCATCATCACCACCACCATCATCACCACCACCATCACCACCACCACCATCATCATCATCACCACCATCATCACCACCACCATCACCACCACCATCACCACCACCACCATCATCACCACCACCATCATCATCTTCCTCTCCCATAGCCCCCCCATCACCCCTGTGGTAGCGCGTCACTGACCCAGCTGCAGGCAGCATCACGAGCGGGAAGCGCTCGTCACGGATGCGTCACTGCTCGAGCAGTGGCGTGGGTGTGTGTCTCGACACTCACACAGACACTCACATAAACACTCACACAGACACTCACTCAGACACATACACTCTCACACTCACACAGACACTCACATAGATATACACTCACACACAGACACTCACTCAGACACTCACACAGACACTCACACAGACACTCACACAGACACTCACACAGACACTCACACAGACACTCATACTCACATAGACATACACTCACACAGACACTCACACAGGTACTCACACAGACATACTCACATAGATATACACTCGCACAGACACTCACACAGACACTCACACAGACACACACACAGACACTCACACAGACACACACACAGACACTCACACAGACACTCACACAGACACTCACTCACACAGACACTCACATAGACATACACTCACTCACTCACACAGACATACACCCCAGTCACACATAGCCATACACTCACATAGACATACACTCACACATAGACATACACGCACGCAGACAGACACTCACTCACACATAGACATACACGCACGTAGACAGACACTCACTCACACATAGACATACACGCACGCAGACAGACAGACACACTCACACAGACACAGTTGGTGCGCACCACTCACAGAGACAAAACAAATTTATTTGAAGTTTCGTGGCTGCAGGAATCCATACTCTTTCGTTCTTTCGGTAAAGTCACATAGGTAGAAAATAAAATAAATCACGACGTTTCGGGCGCAACACAAGCGTCCATCATCAGGTGCAGCTATTAAAACAGTTTGCTTTAAAAGCTTTTTAAAACAGTCTGCCTCTGCAGCAGACCGTGCTTTCCCACCTGATGACGGACGCTTGTGTTGCGCCCGAAACGTCGTGATTTATTTTATTTTCTACCTACGTGACTTTACCGAAAGAACCAACGAGTTTCGAGACAAACATCCTCGCAACCATTCAGTGGCACGGCATGTGCAATCCCCTGCTGGGTGGGGGCATCCTCACACTGTTACGGGTCGTGGGGTGTATTTGACCATACTTCACCCTGGTTGGTCAGTGCCCTCTGCCACTCGCCACGCGCAGCCCCACATCAGCAGCAGCAGCAGCTTCTAACACAATGTGTGGTGGGGCATGGTGTGGTGGTGGTGCATGGTGTGGTGGTGGTGCGGTGGTGTGGTGGTGGTGTGGTGGTGGGGCATAGTGTGGTGGTGGTGCATGGTGTGGTGGTGATGTGGTGGTGGTACATGGTGTGGTGGTGGTGTGGTGGTGGTGCATGGTGTGGTGGTGGTGGGGCATGGTGTGGTGGTGGTGCATGGTGTGGTGGTGGTATGGTGGTGGTGCATGGGGTGGTGGTGCATGGTGTGGTGGTACATGGTGTGGTGGTGATGTGGTGGTGGTGCATGGTGTGGTGGTGATGTATGGTGTGGTGGTGCATGGTGTGGTGGTGGTGCATGGTGTGGTGGTGGTTCATGGTGTTGATGGTGGTTCATGGTGTGGTGGTGGTATGGTGGTGGTGCATGGGGTGGTGGTGCATGGTGTGGTGGTGCATGGTGTGGTGGTGGTGCATAGTGTGGTGGTGGTGATGCATGGTGTGGTGGTGGTGAATGATGTGGTGGTGGTGCATAGTGTGGTGGTGGTGAATGATGTGTGGTGGTGATGTATGGTGTGGTGGTGGTGCATGGTGTGGTGGTGATGCATGGTGGTGATGGTGGTGCATGGTGTGGTGGTGATGGTGGTGCATGGTGTGGTGGTGATGGTGGTGCATGGTGTGGTGGTGAATGGTGTGGTGGTGATGGTGGTACCCATCCGAGCACTGGGCAGGCTCTAACTTTACACGACTTCCAATTCTGACGACAGCGGTCGCATTCCGGGCGGTTCAGTCACAGGTAGAGTGGCACGACAATAACAGGAACACAATAACAACACAAACAAAGAAAAAGGTCCCCCGTATAGCCTGAACAGACCGTTGGGGCAAGTGTTGTTGGCGAGTCAGCACCTACGAAAGCCGGCATGGCACACGAGGGGGTGGGTGGCCAACACCACGCCCGGCCGCCTTTGTCTCCCCAGTGGCGATTGTTTACACATCGCACCGGGTATTAAGTTAAGGTTGAGTCGACCTAGGAGAGGCCCTGGACCGGTTCAGTTAATTGCCACTGGTGTTGGCCCTGAGCGGGAATCGAACTCCGGGTTCGTAGCGCAGCAAGCTGACCGCTGCACTACCACTCACCCACAACAACAAAACAACAACACAACAACAACACACGCATAGAGAATCAAACAAACAACAGACTGACATAGACGTTCAGATAGAGGCCGTACACTGACCACGCAAACACAATAAAGACAACGACCCCCCATGACGCCCGACAGACTCTTGGGGTCAAGTGCTGTGAGCTCGCATCTAGGCAGGCCGCCACGTTACAGCATCCAGCACATCACACATACATTCGTGTACAGCTCGCAAATCCACTGACAATACTTCACCACACTGTGGTCAGTGCGGGTTGGTTGAAGGGGTATTGTATGTCCGGTGACCGGTCTAAATATCACCGTATGCAGCCAACCGTGCAAATCGGAGGAGCGGGGGCAGTACAACAAACTAAAACTTACGTAACATAGTAAGCAACTCAATGTAATTGACCAAGTTGGAATTTGTCTTAAGTCTATATGTTAATTCCCCGCGCCTGACGACGTTAGCACGGTTGGCTACGTACGGTGCGAAAGAAGTTCAACGTACATCATTACAGCGAGCAACCTGAACGGTCCTTTGGATGTGACCGACCGTCCGTCCGTCCCACACCCGCCAGCCAACCAGCCAGCCAAACTTTGTTTTTCTAATACAATACGATTATCCATTATGTGTGCGCTGCCGTGGGGAATTATTGGCGTAAAAAAATATTAAAATTTGAGACGAAGGTTTGTCTTTGCCCATCACGTTTTAACATGTTAGACCGTCGTCCCATATGAGACTCATGGAACAATAATTTCCAATTCCCTTGGTCAACACGGGACACGGGTTCCAAGGACATTGGTACAGCCTCCAAGAAGGCCAATGGAACTACGAAACGTCAAGACGGACTCTAATCTGGTTATTTATTCTTTAGTTTATATGTAAAACCCCATTGTTTTTTTTGTAAAACCAGTCGGTCGTGTTGTAAACGAGCTGCTATCTCGCGCTGGGCACCCCACACGACGCCTCTCATGCTAATCGCCTCCCCAACCCTCCACGCACACCATCTTCCAGTCCCCCCCACCACCACGACCACAACCGCCCCCGCTCGTATATTGATCAGCGGAGAACCCCCCTAAGAACTAAACTAAACAATGTTTTATTTAACCAGGTAAGGCCCCACTGAGCTATGTAGCTCTTTTGCAGAAGTGACCTGGCCACAAATGATAGCTCAACGAAGTGGCTTATCACGTGGGATTTTATAGCAGCCAAATACTCTAAACTCTGAAAGAGCAGAGCCGGAATTCCCAAAATGTATTCCCACTTCCCGATATAATAACCATCATTGCCACAACAACTCGCAACCACAACGATCGCCTTCATCACCCCCATTTACCCCCCACAGCCATCACCATCGCCCTTATTCACAACTATTACCACCACCGATCATCACCATTACTCCCCATCACAACCACGACCAACCATTTCCACCGCAACAGCTATCAACATTACTTAACC